AAGGGCTTGAAACAAGAGGCAATTCTACAAGTATAATTGTGATAAAAAAGAAGGAAGAGGTAGGGAAGAGGTGGGCCCTCTCTGTAAGGAAACTGGAGACATGGTCATCATGAGGGGTACTGAGAAAGCTGAGGCACTCAAAGACTTCCTTGCCTCAGTCTTCACTGCTAGGGGCTCTAGCCTCACCACCCAAGTTGCAGAAAACAATGGCAAGAACTTGGAGAAGGTACATCTGCCTGGTATAAGTGAATGTTATTAATAAACTACATCACCTTTTGTAAAATGTAATAAAATTTCAAACTAATTCTTTTTTTTCTGTCTACTTTTCAAAACTATCAAATACAAAGTGTTAATACATTTTGTGTTTGATCATCAAGATAGTCACAACTTTTCTCCAGGTAAGAATGTAAAATCTCACATATGCTGCAAAACAAACTTTCTACCAATAAGGAAAAAAACATCAATCTTCTGAAATGCCTTTTAGAAAAGAAATTAGAAGATTAGCTTCTCGTATTTTTTTTCAAAGAATAGTATCTGATACAATGAAAGTTTAGAAACCTTTTTATTTTTTGTTCTAGTCTACAGAGTTCTTGCTTAATGTTAACTTTAAGACATTATATCATCATATAAATCACTCTTCTATTCTACTCTCTCTTCTATGAAACAATGGAAAAGTACTAACTGAAGAGTGCATAAGCTCTCTACTTGGAGCAGAACAAGACAGGAAACACAGACATCACAGACAGCACAGTCTTTGCTATATAAATAGGTAAAAACTTTGCCTATACAATAGAATACTGGCACTTACTTAAGTGGATACCCACATACAGTTTGAAAACTATGAGTCTTGGTGTTTAATGAATAAATACAAAAGACAATATTTTTCTCTTTAGTACTCATCAAAGAGAATGACTACAATTCAACATTACATCCCTCTCCAATACTTACATCTGTCCTGTAATGCTCCTTTCTGACGAATTTCACTTCTGCTTTGTATAAAATGCTACAAAGAACACTCTGTGTGACTGACATACGTTCACAGTTATGCTAGTATTTCACACAGAATTGCTGTATATTTTTTTATTTGGTAGTCAGGAGTTTGTATTTTGGTGTAGCTTTTTGTGTTTCCTTTTTTTTTCCCTCTGGGTTGGTTTGTTTGTTGTTGTTATTGTTGTTTGGGGGGATTTTTTCCAAGCTCTGGTCAGCTGGGAATTGTAGAGCTTTAACACATATCTTAGTCTGTTCACCTTAGCTGAAAACTTTACAACTGCAGAGACAACTTTGGTGATAAATGGCGATTCTATTCACTCCAAGGTTCAAACAAAGAAGAAGTATTTGTCATGCAAATCCTTTGAATAGATTCATTTAATCTGATTTAGATAAACTACAAGTAATCCAGATTTGATCTTCAACTTAAATAAGCATACGTTGCTGAAGACTTTCCTAATCATATCATTTATCTCAGATGGAAAGAAGCTTTTTTCCACTTATAGGACAAAAAGAACTGAACTGTATGCATCAAGTACTCACAAAAATTCACCTAAGAGCAAGATACCAATCTGGGGAATAACACTATGCATTTTTTATCAGTAGCTGACACAAGAAACATTCAATTCCTTATTTAGAAAGATTCTTAATTGATATCCATCTTACAGACATACCTGCATAGACTTGGGATGATTAAAAAAAACGAGGGATGACAAGCAAGAAAATAGTTAATAGTCCCTTACTGTCATCCATAAAATTCTAATCGAAACGATTTAGGTTCTGAATACTTGTATTTACACACAAAACTGATATAGGTTCCTATTAGCCAAATGAGATTCTAGGATAACAACGCGCCATGGCATGCTTCATCTATTGTTTTTAACCAGGTCTAAGCCTGAATTGCCTTTTCCACCATACATTTATACTGAAAATATGTCTTCCCAAAAGGTGCTAATTACGCTGTGAGAAGACCTCAGTGCATCTAGTACTCATTTTAATTGTAGATACCAGAAGATGCCTTGCAAAATAGTACATTTCCTGTGTTTCTGAACAGTTACATAGTTCATAAACACTGTATTATGCAAGTACATTACTACAGAAGATTAAAATCTACATACTCTCAGCAAAGATAAATCCACTGCATTAAAAAGCATCATATAATTGCTCCTTTCGATTGTGACTCAATTAAGAATACTACAATTTCTTCTTAAATTGAGTTTGAAAAGAAAAAAATATACAAGGAGTATTTTAAAAAATGAGATAGATATACTCTAGTTTAACACTATTTAGTGTTTCTAACTATTTGCATATATCTAACAAACTATTCTCAGTATTTTAGACATCTTCCTTTTATTTAGTTACGGCTACCCACCAGAGATGCTGTTGACATAGTATAGCTTCACATACATATTTATCTAACACTCATTTTATGACATGGTCTATACACACAGCCTCTTACATTTATTTACTTACCGACAGTATCACATGGTTCGTCTTTATGTACACAGAAATCCTTCCTAGAATTGAGGGTGGAAAAAAGAAAAATGTTAAGTAAGCCAAGTTGTCAGTCCTATAATGACTGTGTGACCTATTTACAAATACTTCATATGGCTCAATGAATAAACACAGAACGCTGTTATCCCAACAAAGAGCGTGGTGAAGCAAAGGCCAGGATTACCCACAACACTTTTATTCAGTATACTCTCGGAAGAGATTTAAGAGTAGTCAGGTGACAAAATATGTACCACATATTTAATTTGCATTATACATAGTTCTTGTTTTTTTTTTTTTCTTTTAACCCATTTCTATTTCTTGAAATATAGCATTCTAAAGTTAGTCTTCAGAAATGTGCACATGAAATGAAAATATCTTAATATCAGATCCAAAACCAGCATTTTAATCCAGGATTAAAATCAGAGTAAGAAAGCTTTTGTGGCTTATCAAGTTATCAAGACTAAAAGAGAATTTGGTACAAGTGCATGCTGGCAAAGCATTTCTGCTAGGGCAGCCATTCTAATAGTGGAAGATTTAAAATAAACTCATGAGGAAAAGACTTTCACCAATACCATTTTTAGTCCATCCGCAGATCTACAAATAAGACCGTATCATTGCATCAAGCAGAACAAATATCTTAGCCCTGCTTTAAACAATATTTGCTTGGAATTCATTTTAAATTCACACATATTTTACCTGTTCTCTGAGAGAAGCAACGAAGTTACATAAAAAAAAAACCTTAAAGATATGCAGGAACATAGAGAAAAAAACAACATACATCATCGCACTACATACATCGCCTAATAAAAGTACTATCTTCTTATCTGAAATTTATTCTGATCCTGACATGTACTCGTATAAAGAATATTCTCCCCTCTTACTCTCAATTTCTGCACAGGTCATTATGGGTTGGAAATATTCCTTTTTTACATTCTGTCTATGAAGCTAGATATATAAATTGATACAGGTAAAGATATGCATAAGCACACATCAGCGCTCACAGACAAACATACTTGTATCTATCGTCAGCAGCAGCAATTATAAGTGGAAACTAACTGATACCTGATATACACTCTGGAAAGACGTACCCAGTACAGAAATTTCCTGTTTCTATATTACTTGAGCTATTAAATATCTTTGCATGAATAATCATATTCATTTTTTATATCTGGGAAGTATTTCATGTGTGCATACTGATCATCGTTAAGTATCTGTAATACATTTCTTAATGGCTATTGTTGTTAAAGGCTTAAGAATAAAAACTTAAGATGGAAGTCAGTGAAGCTATGAATCAGACTGCACCTCACTTTTCAACCTCACATTTTACTTTTTTGTTGAACTGGACCAGTAATTAAGGATCTTTCTCTTTCAAAAATATCTTACATGTGTATTTATTTTCCAGTAACTAAAGATGTGCTCCCAGGGTTTGAGACACAAGAGTAGACTGATGATAATTACCATTTTTACAAATGCAACTACTCGAAGAGATTTTTCTTTGTTTCCCACAGACTACTGTCACACAGTGATTTAGGCTCAAAAGCGATCTCAGGAGACTGGTAAATTTTTGGCACTTGTGAAAGGCCACACAGTTAGAGACATGAGATTATAGCTTTTTATTCTCTAGTCACCACTGACAAAAAATTACCGGCTAGAAAAGCAAAGCGGCAGTGCTAGAAAGAAATTATGGTAGAATCAAATCTTTATCCTAAGTGATAAAGAAGATGTAGGAATTCATTTAGATGAGCATTGGAAACAGAGACTGAAATGATGTTGAAGAAACTATAATCAGACACAGAGAGAAGTACTTTTACGTTATCAAAGCTGTAAGAAATTGCTTTAATGCAGTGGGCTTTAACAGTTTCCTTTGTTCAGTCCTATGTGACACAAGGGACTTACTGTGTTGTTAAACATGACAGAAAGATTAGAAATATGGCACTTCTGATGAAGCAAGAGAACACGTGCAGAAACGATCTAAGGCCATAGATTATCTTTCATGCATAGTCATTCAACTACCATAAATAGTAACTGATGTAATGAAGTTAAAAAAAAAAAAAAGAGAGAAAAAAAAAAGAAGAGCATACCTGAAATTTAAAAGATCATTTGGCATTTTAAAACTACCAATATCCAAGAGGTTTCTGCTTATGTAATAGCTCTGCTCTCAGATACTTAATGAGGTGCTTTTGTTTTGTTTTTCCTTCTTGCCCAAATCCATCTATGATTAAGCTATGCATCCAGAGTTTCATTATGGAACTTTGGGGAAACAGTTCTGCTGTGATTTGGTAAGAGGAAGGCAAAATAAACCATTCTTAGTTCCTTATTTACATTGAAAGAATATAATGTCTACTTTAATTTCCAAGAATACTTATTCAGGAAACATTAGTAAAAATTTAAAACTCTAGCTAGATCTACAACTGACTTGTAAAGAAACTATTCTTTAATTCCTACAAGATAACTTGCACATTCCATCAAATTATAACTACATTTCCATGTGTGTATATATATGTAGCTTACACAGAATCACACATAGAATCATACACATGTATGTATACACCTCTCTCTCTGTATATATATATGTAATTGACATATGGAAATTACACAAAAGAGGACACTGACTCTTAGATATAGATGAAGTGGTATAAATAAATAAAATGGTATAAATAGGGCAATAAAGCACAATACAAAGACTTCAGGAAAGCCACTGACATCATTTGCCTCTGTTCTTTTCCTTCTTAGCAAAGTAGGGTTGATAGTAGCATTATCATTAATGTACATATAGAAGTTTGAGGGGCAAGAGTTAGTAACCAGTATATATAAAATATATATAAAAGTATATACTGGTATATATAGAAAGCAAAAAAAATTGGTTAAAATACACAGAAATTTCCTTCTAAGCAGCATCCAGCTCAAAACTTCTATTACTCTAATGCACACCTGGCATGCACATGTAAAGAAAAACAAGTCCTTATTCAAGTGAGGGAAAAACAGGAGGTTTCATGAGAATTATAACTGATTTCCAAGTTTGATTGAGTTGACCAACACACTCAAAGAAAGAATGGGTAAATACTAATATATTGTTTCAAGAAATTACATTTAGTTAGTAAATTCTCAATCAATTACATATAAAGAGGCAAAGACTAATTATCCACTTTCCAAATATAAAGTATCTCATTATATACTATTTTTCAAAATAAATGTTGATGTGTAGATGGGATGTAACAGAAGGTGTAAAGAACAGCAGAAGAAGAATAAAGAAGAAAACAGACAATTTCTATGAACAGCTTGCATCATTTTAAGTAACTTAACATACATTTTAGCCATGCTAGTAGAAAGACTTACTATGTACCTAAGCTTGCTTGCAGTTTCATTCCATATGTTAGATGTGAGAAAAGCAGAAACAGAAGTGGTCAGACTGGATTTTAGCATTCTAACAAATATTCATTCTGGCTTTTGCCCTACTTTCAATTTCCTAACTATTTTGATGCTCTAATGTACTAAATGAGTAATGACAGCATTGTAGTTGTTCTTGTTGTTTCATGTGACGGAACATTCTGAAATTATCAGTATACTTTTTTAAAAAACAAACAAAAACCAATAAAATGAAATCAGTTTAGGAGTTAATGAACCACAGGCTAAATTACTATTTACAGGCTAACTTACTATTCAGTTGGGAATTTAAATAAACAACAATCTTACTGTTATGGATGTTTTTTCTGGAGCTCTTCACCGTTGTGATGGTAAGCTTCAAATGCATTGGTAAGTATTATTTCTAACTTAGAAAATCAAAAAACACTGCATTTAAATATTTTAAATAGCTAATTTTACTTCAGGTCTGTAACGCTGAACTGACATTAAAAATGGTAATAAGCTACCTTCCGAAATTCATGTTTCACCACATTTAAGAAGAGTGGGAAGCAAAATAGTAAGTAAATTGAATGTGTAGCTAACATCTCTAAACAGATACAGAAAAATGAGAATGCCAAGGAAGGTATTTTTGAGTTGAGTTCAATGGAATCTAAGCTCAACATTAGTATTAAACAATGTTTTGGAAGAAAATAAGAGAGCACTGCTAGTTAAGTTTAAAAATGAAATGTTAATATTATTAATACTTAATAAATTATAGATATAGAATAGCTACAATATAGAATATAAATAGGAATGAAGACAAATCATCTTTTTATATAGGACTTATGTGAATAACTCTTATTTTAATGTGGCCAAAACTTGATCAGGTATGGTGACAACAAAGAAGAAAAAAGAAAGGGAAGAAAAGAAATAAGAATTTGAAAACAGGCAGTGGCAGTTTACTTCAAAGGAGTGAATAGCATCGTTGGATAAAAGCACAGGAAAGTATCAGATGTGGCACCAGCAAAGCTGTCTGCACACTGCTGTGTCCAATTTGTGGACTTACAATCTGTGAAAAAAAGGAAATGGGTCTGGAAAGAGCTAAAGGAATGATTATACATCTGAGAAACTGTTAATCTAGAGAAAGATGAGCTGTGCCTTGATCACAGTCTACAAGTATTTAGACAGGGAGGAGATTTCAAATAACTCCTTAGCTGCAAATGTATAGAGATCCCTGTTAGAAAGCTGAAGCAACAGAGATGAAAAATAAGACAAAATTTTTCATTCTGAAAGTAAATAAAAATGGCAATAATCTATTTCAGAACAAAGTTAATTTCCTTCATTTTGTTTATTTGTTTCAAGACTGTCTAGCTTTCCTGTTCACTACTAAAATCTGAAATGTAGTCCTGGTGACTTATACTACATAACCATAGTTTTAAAATTCAATTTCGTTTCATGTAGAGGTATATAGCAGATCAGTAAGGGTGAAAGACATTGCAGAATGGAGCAGATGTTACCTGAGTACTACAGCTCTAAAGAACATGCTGATGGAACCAAGTAAATCATGCAGATTTTCCTCAAACGTGACAAATTTTATCAACTTCACATACTCCAACACCTTGAACTTAGAAAACAAACAAATCCACAGAATCTGATAATTAAAAAATAGGGAAAAGTACTA